GAATCTGGTCCAACATTGACGTGTACATACCCAGGAGTGGGTTACACAGACTCAACCTGATGACCGCCCAGCCTTCTCAGGAGTATACCACTCACCACAGAAATCTAATTACTCTCAACAGAAACAGCAGGATATCAAGATAAGTTGTATTAAAAGAAAATGCCTGGTGAGCAACAATAGAACAAACGGAATTACGGAGAGAATACTCCCAGGACCATGTTTTACAATGTGTTGTGAGAAGATTTTAATTCTTTAGTTAATCCTTAAATCTTGTTTGTCTCTTATTTGAATAAGTAAAAATACATTGAATCATCTCTACTCTGGCATTTTATGTGATAAGCACATTTCAAAATGATGTGACGGACACAAACAAAATATACATTTTATCTGGCAATTCCAAAGCAAACTACTCAAACTGCACTGTCAAGTTCAGATTTAATTGTGCTGCATTTCACTATTGGTCAGTGGTGCTGACATGTGGGCTAGGAAACGGGGAAAAAGCAGGTCAGACGTCAGATGGGACCCCTGCTGACCCTGCCAAAACACCCAACAGGGGACTAAGGAGGGAATCCAATTTAACCCACTGGGCCCTCAGCATCTTGTTAAAGTCAACAAGCTGTCACTCATGTTTTTCATTTTCCCTCATCCACAGTCGTGGTTCCGTTCCCTCACCTTATTCGGTCTCCAAGTCTGTCTCCTTCTCTTAGTACTTCCTTTTCATAGAGAAGGCTTTACAAGTTGTTAATTGATTTTGTTTTAAAATCTCTGATGATTGTGTCTCAGATAAACAAATGCTGTACGTATTATTCAGAAAATCGTATTTAGTCCATGAGATTTCTTGTTCCTTTCTTTTTCCTCAAGCCATTGTCGATTAGCAATCCATGATGGAGCACTCACATCAAGGAGAGGATGACGAAGGAACCACATGACAGCAGTTTACAAATCAAAGATAAGGTATGACTCACCACATATGGGTGCTGTTAGGTCTGACATAAATTTGTGGAACCAACTCTGAAACTTTAGAAAGCGAATTAAGTTAATTTAGTTAGGCAAAAAACAGACAACCGACAAAATAAGATAGTGGAAAAAGTCAGAGCACAAGATGAGAGAGCTAACAATGAGGGGTTTTACTTACCTTTCATTTTGAAGGTTATGACACCCACAATTCCAACCAGAGGAGGCCACTGTATGGATACCAGAAAAAACAGAAAAAAGCAACACAAACACTGGCATGGGTTCGATGTCGATGTTAACCTCATGCATTTTCATGTGATCTATCTGGCTCCTACATTTAACCCTACAGTGCCATATGTATCATATTTGATATATACGGTTTCTGAAATGTTTTGCATCTGAAACATTTTGCATCATTTCATGGTAAAAAACTTTGCTCAAAAACCTGTTGTACACAATCATACCTGATAACAGAAGGCAGAAGATCACGCAACAATCATTTTGACTTCTCGCACAGTAATAAAAGGGCCAAATAAAGACTTCAAACAAGCTAAAAAATGGCAGTTTTTTCTTGGATCAGGCTTTAAAGGGTTAAGTACACCTTATCTGTTCTCAATTAAGGGTTTGCTTACTTTCTTATTCATGCAGTTGTGACCTGTGCAAGGTCTGACAAATTACAGCAACTGACCTCCTTAAGGCCGTTATTTAGGTCATTGTTCGTGAAACATTTGTCCCAGGTTATTCAGAGGACTCCCACATAAAATATATTATATATCAAACATGACTTCAACAATATCCTTCATTTAAAAAAAAAAGATGAACAGTTCATTGTGCCCTCACATTGTCTGATCAATATGGAAAAATAGAGGTTTAAGTCAGAGTCTCCTCAAGTGTAGAATGTGCATTCTCAATGTGTCAGTACTGCATTGAGTCTCTTTACAAATAGAACTTGTCATTCTAAATATACTTTGGACAAATGGCTCTGTTAATTTCTTACTATCAGATTTATGTATGTACATAATATAACTAAAACAGGCAGACACTTAGATTTTCTGTCATCACTGCAGGTGGTTAATTTTGTTCATACTGCGAAATTGAACAAAGTACAAATGTATTTAATACTTGACCACAATATGAAAATAGGCCTCTTGTGTATCTCATTAGATATGCAGAGCGCCACAGTGGAAACTACATATCATTGGCTCAGAGTCAACAGTTTACTCTCATTCAACTTTGCATGTTAACTTTGAAAGCCTGAAAATACCAGATAATCCACGGGATTATCCTTCCAGTGGAAAATCGTCAGAGCAGGAACTCTATTATATAAGAAACACAGTTTAAACCAACGATGATAGATCCTCAAGTATTGAGTGGGAGTCGGCTCTTAAGAACAAAACAATGAGCAAGTGCACGGGGTTGGTTTTAAAACTAAATACATCACACTTTAAGATCACACTTTAAGATCACACTTTTTGAGCTGGAGACTCGAAACCTGAATTGTAATGTCTGTGAAGTTATATATGTATATATCAAGAACGGGCTAAACAATTTGTGATTTTTCCTGCCTCTGTTCTCCACAGAAACACCAGTGATAGATCACAGGTGCTTGATGTGGGGCGAGTGCAGTCTACTGTTTCCCATCATGCTGAGGGGACAGTCCATTTGATGATGATGAATTTCACACAGAAAAGCACAGAAACAGGAGATATCAGTTCCTTCCGTCTTGACTCTCAGCACAACAAAGACGCCCTGGCACAAAGGGATGAAATGGGACCTCTCAGCAGCTTCTTTAATGTGGAAAGTGCAACCATGGTGTGCTGATGGGTTGGGCTGATTGTTGTTATTGTTACATGTGCAAGTCCTCACATTCTTGCGTTATTTCTTATGGAGGTCCGCATACAATTCTACAAAAAAATCTAGCAATTTATCATCTGTATTACTTATGCATAGTAAGATAGCAGAGTGCTGAAACCTATCCCAGCTATCATTGGGCAAAAGGCGAGGTACAGGTTGCCAGTCCATAAAGAGCCACCACACTCACTCCTATAGTCATTTTAGAGTCTCCAAATAACCTGACATGCATGTTTTTGGACAGTGGCAAGAAGCCAGAGTACCCAGAGAGAACGCATGCTTACACAGGCCTCCACAAAGAAAGGATCCCCAGTTCCCCGGGGGTTTGAAGCGGGAACCCTGTTGCTGTGGGGAGGTGATGGTGGTTCACATCATACCACCATGCAGCCACAGGACAACAATTTCAAGAAAATGAGTTTGAGGTTTATATTTCCGTAGAAAAATCAATAGCCTGACTTGGAAGTAAAGCTTACCACAATATATTCTACGTTTTCTTGATCAGTAATATTCATGTTTATGTTAATGGTAATTGATGGATCTATTTAAAGAAAGTGAGAGCCCTCTGGCTGAAATCAAAAGGCCTGTGTGTCAAAACAACAGTCATGCAGTCTTACAATGCCCCCTAATGTTGTTAGTAGAAACTACCCTTCCTTTCAACAGGACCCCTTCAACAGGGAAGAAAACTTCATGAATTATATTTCCAATTTTTCAGAATTTTCTGTGGCATGTATATCTTTTAATATTCTTTTATTTACACAGAAGTGGAAGTTAATGGCTTGAATATTTGTCGCAGTGCTTAAATGTATCAATAAGTTATCTATAAGCATGTAGACGCTGTGGAAATGTTAGCTCTCAGCAGCACAAGTGGTCATGGTGACATGACTGCTCTGTCATGGTGTAATTCTGTACCGCATAAAAATCCATCCCTTGAACGATGGTTCAAGGGGCTCCACACACATATAGCCTATACAGAGACTAAACAGAACCTGTATGAAAGTGTGGACTCAGCAGCGTTGGCATTAAAAAAGTAAACCTTTATTCAACACAAGTGCAAAAACGAGAAAGAATAGGGTTGCACATGGGATTTTAAAGAACAATAAGTTTGTTTTAGGGATAGCATCCAGTCCTAGATTTCAGATTTTACTGCAAGTTGGTCTAATTCATTCATTTATTTTTATTCTCTTCACCAGGTGGTTTAATAGACATTCACATGTTAAATCTTGTGACAAAAGAACATTAGGTAGAACTGAGACAAGTGAGAAAGGCCCTTCAAATGTAAACAATAAAGGTGTGAACGAGTGGAGCTTCTGAGTTCTGCCAGGTTTGTGTGTGTTTACAAGTGTATGTGAAACATAGTGTTGAGCACCTCGCGGAATGACAGAAGTTGGATGGTCTTGCTTTGATCGAGATTACTGACATTCAATAACAAAACAACATTATAAAAAGAATATACAAAATATTAAATTAAATAAACCCTCTACCCGATTAATTAATCCAAAATGACAACCTGTTATTAATATATTACCCAGTCATTAAGAGTAAATCATAATCAGTCTGTTTCAAATGTTTGCATTAGACTGCAGAGCATTTATAACCTGCTACACTGATGTCATAAATACTGATATGACATCAAATTTAACAATATAAATCCCCATAAAGAAACCAAGAACTGCAGAAAGTGGATACATTTTTCAAAACAGATTTCCTTTTCAAAGCTGTCTGGAAGTGCCCCCTGTTGTTATGATAGTTGAATTACACCTACCTTTGATCCTTTTTTGACTACAAAAAACCCACCACACAGAAGCCAAATAAAGTTGGAATTCTTTTGTCTCACTAGATCAAACTTTTGACCATCAGCAAGCTGACAATTAGGGAGATGAATGGTTTTAACACTCCGGGGGCGCTGCTTCTCTGGATCAGTGTGTCTGTAAAACAAGAAATCAGTTTAGATTGATGAAGATATTTGTAAAGTTTCATTTCAACTGCAACACAAAGCGATCCAGCCACGAGAGAGATTTACCTATGCTGCGTTGGCTCAAGACCAGTGGTCCCAGAGAAATGGCTGCACTGTCATGGAAGGAAACATCCCTCCTAAAGCGGCTGTGGTGCCCCGGGTAGCAGTGCTGCAGGACAACAGCATTAGGGGCTTCTGCAGGTACACCACTTAATAATCTGTGCTATCTCACCGAGAGCTTAATGTCATACTTACAGCTGTGCAGTTGTTGTTTCTCAAAAGACACAGGTGAACGTTACAGTGCACATAAATGGATGTAAAGTTGGTGAAGGTGAACATCCTGAAGGAGAAACGGGCCACGGTGGAGACGCCATTCTGCATCAGCTCAACCGTTCCATCCTCTGGGTTCGGACATCTATAAAAGAGGACATATGCAGAAAAAAATAGTGTCAGAATTTTAAAGTTGTCCGGATGTAAAGAAGGATGCATGAAGGCAATGAGGAGAGATCGGGTTATTACTCGGCAGTAATGAGATCCCAGCGGACAGGGTAGTTTGCCATGTTGACGGGAGTGGCCCAGCATGAGTCTACAACTGTGGAGATCTGGCGCTGATCCACCCCTTCTGTCCGCACCTCCACGTAAAGCGGCTCATCCACATCCATTTCTATGTTTGTGTCACTGGTGAGGGGGAAACGGAAGCCCGCGTCCTGGTAGGGAATCATCCTCATGTGATACAGGCCACGGCCAGCTGGAAGCTTCTTACTGACAACGCTGTAAAATAAATGTACACATAGTGTTATTGCTGCCCAAAATCTGACAGTTAACATTTCTTTCTCTGCCTGTTATTGAAAATTGAACAAATTTTCAATGTTCAAAACCAGCTGTGAATAATTCACTATTTATTCACAAGTTTTTCTGATTACTGGGGATGGTTAGTTTATTAAAGACGGTAATAAAATAATACACGCAGAAAAGACAGTTGCACCTCTCCACAGGGTTGATGCCAACAGCCATCGACAGAGCCTGATTCAGAGGGTATTCACAACAGAAACGCAGATGGATGTTCCTCTGACGGCTGATTAGACCTCCATGAGGATCTACGTCGCCCTGGATGGTGTTCTCGTACATGAAATGGGTTCCGTTGCTCTAAATATCGAGATGATGAAAGTTAAGAGTAGAAGTTAGAAGTAGAAGTTAAGAACAGTGTTTTTAGTCTGTGCTGACAAGATTCTGGTCCAGAAGTCATACCCTGAGAACTGTCCCGCAGAGCTGGTCATTATTGTCAAAGTGGAACAGCAGACGTCCGTCCTCGACTGTCCCGTTACAATTCTCATCCCTGAGATGAAGAGCGCCGGAGTGGAAGCCTGCTTCGAACAGCTGGCAGCGAGACACCGACATGCTGCCTGAACTGCTGTCGCAGCTGATGAGGGAGTCTGTTGCACCCGAAGGGAATAAAGTTATTTTTTGGAGGTTGAAGACCAAATAAATCAATTAGTATAGGGTTTTAAAGAGTGGATTTAATAATGCTCAGTCAATCTAAAAAACAAAGTAGAGTTTAAAGAGGCTTTACCATAGCTCTCGTTGTTGCGTCTGTGATGGTGCTCGTCACAGAAGCATCCGTACACTCCATCTTTCTGACCGCACCACTCATACTCTGTGCATTCCAGCTGATCACATGGGTCTGTGTCATCTAAAAAAACATCACAAGATTAGTAAAAGAGTGGATTAAGCCTAAATCAAATCATCTCTACCAAATATTAGCAGACTTGTTGTCGTACCACAATGCAAATCAGACTGCCATTCAGGGATGTTTAACCCCAAAACAGAGCAGGTTCTCTCATAGGCTGAGACGGCAGAGCACAGCATTCCATTGGCTGGAGTGTAAAGGCAGAGATCATAAAGGCAGGAGGCGAAAAATGGCCGGGGGTCAGAATGCAGGTGGCAGTCCCTGAATGGGCCGCTGCTGTTGGTGATGATACTGCAGAGTTCAGAGTATTCCTCTCTGAAGCGACAGTCACTGAGGCCACCGCCGCTCCGCTCATCAGTGGATCCACATCTGGAAAAGCATTCAAAATGTCTAAGCTTCAGGGCCTTTTGTGCTTCGGCACTGCACACAGCATGTCTCTGCGAGGCGCAGACTCACCGACCACACTCACCCCGGTCGGCTCGTGGGAGACTTCCAGCTGTGTCCGAATTCGTTGTCATTTTCTGCCCGTGTGCCATTGGGCAGCGCTTTATCATCTGAGGGATCACCGTTAAAGTTCCCACACATCCCTGCAACCCGGTCCTGACAGTGTCTGCCCATTCTGACCAGCAGAGTGCTCCGGCCATCGAACTGGACAACGAAATCAGCAGCATCGAACACGATGTAACTTCCCTGCCTGACCACTTGAGCTAAGGTTCCTGCTGTGGTGGGAATAGACACCTCTGTTCCTTCTACCTATAAAGAGAAGAGATCAGAGAGTTTGAAAGGAAGCCAGTCTGGAAGTAGAAAGTTCTTCCTCTTTGAAATAAGCAAGAGGTTACCTTTACTCTTCTGTTGGGTCCAATCTTGACATGCACACTCTCTGTTTCTTTTGAGAGGTACACATCCACCTCCGACACAAATGACACAAGGTTGTTGCCACGGTGATTGTTGGTGGCTACCACCTTAAACTGGGTTTCATTGATACTGTGACCGACGCTCTCAGTGATGACGTAAGAGCATGTGCCCTGGAAATGGGCCAGCGCTCCATCAAAGGTGATGTAGTGTGGATCACCCCACACAGTGCAAGTTGACATAGCATCATAGCAGCCCAGCTGGCCGTTCCTGATGGTGCACTCTTGTGCAGGAGTGCACGACGCAGGTAAACAGCGCAAGTCATGTGGGGCATGACACTCACACAGCTGCACGCATCCGTCTGTCCAGAAAGTCTCACCAGCCTGCAGAGTGCCAGTAAAAGTTGTGCCTAATGAGTAGCTATCTTTGTGCTTTTCAATGTTACAAATTCCCTTTGCCTGTAATCTACTGGGAATTTAACGTAAACTGATAGCTCTATTGTTTGGAACCAGATTTCTGTTGTCAAGCTATCAATTACTCCGTCAGCTACAGGGTGTTAGAGCTTAGGTGACTAATTCAAAGAAATTTAATACTAGGGGCAAAAGAAGGTAACACGTTTGACAAGTTTATCCTCTTTACTTTAACTAATACATTCATAGTAGCCACACAACTGTTATGTAACAAGGTAAGTAAAGATTATATGAAGGCAAAGTGTCAGTATCTACTAAAGTCTACTAAGTCTGTGATAAAACACTAATGTATTAGTACCATAAAGCAAGAGAAAAAGTTCAATCCTGCAATTCTGTCCTCTTTACTCTTTCATAAAATAATTTAACCAGATAACTTTGAATGGCGTAATTGTGACTTACATTATAGTAGAAGCCATCATATTGGCAGCCACAGCTCTCCACAGGAACACAGCTGGCCCCACTCCTGACAAAGCCGTCATCACAGAAACATCCCTCTGAGCAAACATGCTCACAGGTGGCATCTGTGCTGCTGGCACAAGTGTGGCCACAGTCTGTTCCACACAGCTCATAATGACTGTTGGTTGGGCAGTCGACTCCTTAATATAAGAGGAAAAAGCATGTTATCAATGAAAACACTTTTGGCTGTCAGTCTATCATCACATGACCACAGCAAAAAAAGGTAGATTCAGGAACTTGCTGGAATACTTCTGTATTTTAGCTTAATATTTACGCACTGCAGGTGGTGTTCTGTCTCCACGGGTAGATTCTG